TTTATCTTATGATCTATTCATCTCATTTTGTTTTTATTTATTTGTTTAAAAAAATTTCGATTTAAAAAGGATAAGAAATATTTTTATACTTAAATAATTTCGATTTAAAAGAATAAAAAATATTTTTTTAAAAGACTTGCACCTTATGTTTGTATTAACTTCTTTCAGTATGAATGGTTTGATGCCGTCAAAGATGAAGCTCCCGACGGAATTGATGACTCCTTGAAACACTGAACCGAGGAATCCTAGATTCTTAAAGTCCAGGTCAATTTTATCGAAAGTCAAATCCATATCGATATCCTGAGCTTGTAATTTGCCATCGGTGCTCACTTCTAGCCTGGCGATACCTTCGACTTTCACGCCAGTAAGTTTCACCGAAAAGTCTCCTTCGGATCTCGAAATCCACGATGTCATTGTGTATAATCCGCGAATATCAAGAATGTCAATCCTTACTGCGACAGACACCTCGAAAAGATAATTATTTTTATTTTACATTTCTAGTAAAAACAATAAAGTTGCAAAAATAAACATCAAGTGCATATATATAAAGATAAATTTAATTATTTAATATAAATATACATCTTCATGTGAATAAAATTCATGTGAATAATATAAGAAAATTGTAAATATAAATAAAGAAAAAAACAAAAATTTGATGATTTCAAAAGAAAGATGTAAAAAATAAAATATGTAAAATATATATACATACATAATCTACAAAATATTTTGTACACAGAATATTTACATATAATGTAAATTATGTTTTAAAACACATTCTTTGCAAATTGATAATTAAAAAATTTTTCAGATAAATTAATAAAAAAGATTTTACTAGAAGAGCATATTTTACTTCTTTCATCATTATACAGTCACAATATCGTTATCATCTTTCTACTACGTCTGCTTAAAATATGATGCGCATCTTATTTTCTACGTAACACACGCGCGCGCGCGCGCGCGCGCACACACACACACACACACACACACACACACACACACACATACACACAACAAATGTACATATATTTGCATATTAAATGTTTGATTTCTTTACTAAAAGCATTTTAACCATAAAAAATAGTTGAAAATTTTAAATAAATATTATATCAATTAAAATTTAATAATAAAGTTTTTATTTTAGAGTTATTATTTTTAAAGAAATCGATTGATTTACGATATTGTAATCTTCATTATCAATATATAAGTAATGACTTACATAGACATTACTTATTTAATCAACATTTATTATTTTTAAATTATTCATATAACTGTGTTAATAACTGTCCATAATATTGTATTATATAACTATATTATATACTATAATACTATAGTAACTATTAACAATAGCAACACAGCGAACTGTCTTCTACATGTATCACTATATGCATATAAATGTATATATATTTTAGAATCTAATCAAGAGCGGAAAAGAAGTATTGTACATCAGTTTCAGTTTCTAATATTTTTTTGATTTTTTTTGATTTTTTTCTATCTTTCCAGCTGACGTTTTGTTCTAATTTACCTGCATACGTGCCAATTCCGATTCTATATGTTCGATACGGAACTTGGACAATCCATAAACGCTAATTTTTTTTAGATTTATCGTATTTATGGAGAAGGAATGCTTCATATCCGGCACTGGCATCGGATCCGGTATCGGCGCGCCCGGTAACCCGACCGGATCGTCTTGCTGATAATGTTTGAGGATAGCGCGAATTTGATCCCCTAGTCGCTGCTCGCCTGCGGCTATTTGAGCTACCATTTTCTTGTCTAGAATAAGTTATATTTTGTTAAATTAATAAGTAAAATCAATATTACGTAAATAAATATAGAAAAATAGTATTATAAAATCAATTTCATGAGAGTGATTTTGAGATATACGAAATTGATATCCAAAAATTTTTATTGTTAGATGTAAGCTGCTTCAATTAATTATTGAAATTTTACGCGAAAATTAATCATTGAGACTTGTAAATGAAATAATTTTATTTTACAACGATCTATGTTATGATTGCCCCTTGAACTATATATTGCGCAAGAAGAGTAAATTATTTACATGAAAAAACGTAGCAAAAAGCGTATTATAGTTAATTATTATGTGTATTATGAAACAAACAGTGAAGTCAATTATTTTTTGAAGCTTGAATAATAACAATTAGTTTTTTAAAGTTCATTTTTTTAAAGTTCAATTAATTCACTTTTAAATGAAAACTTTAAAAAAAAAACGAAGAAATTAAATCGTACATAGTTTCTTACTCGCATAATTTTCAGTTTGATATATTGAGTAATGTTTAACAATTTAGAAAATAAAAAATGATTAGAAATATTATGTTGTTTGTTTATATAATATACAACTTTATTAAATTGCATTGAAATTATTTACGAAATATATCATTTATTAAAAGTTCAATAGGAAATGATTGAGAAAATTATAATCTCCCCTGTCTCTTTAATTCAATTATATTATATTATATTATATTATATTATATTATATCAATTATATTATATTTAAACAATTTATATATTTAAATAATTATAAATATATTAATATTAACCAGGAAATAACAGTTCAATGCAATTGCGCTGTATTTAAACGATTTTAAAAATATACAGACATTGCTAGGTTTTGACGAAATCACGTCTATCAATGAAATGTTATACCTAGTGAAGTTGAGGCATTGTTCGCTTTTAGCTCCTCGCTTGCACATGGAAAACACAGGAAGCAGCACACTATTAAAAAGACTACCGTGTAGACTCGCATTTCTAATCGCGTTTTGCACCTCATGTTCTTTTAACTTCCTGTTAGAAACACTAATATACCATTTGACACTTGGCCCTACCGATATTACTACAAAGAAGCTATCATAAAAAATATTAACGTGTAATCGTATCATAAATTTGTCGAGATCCCCTCCGATTGTTTCCTGTCGTAACTTCTCTATTGGAAACCCCTCACTACCTTCACTTTTGAATTTTGTCAACGGATTAATATATTAATTAATTCCACAATCAATTTTACGATCAGTTTGCGGTCACAAGCTTCGCCCTTCAACTATCACTAACAGTTCTTCCTTTTATCTGCCAAGGGTGCAAAATGCTTATCAGTGAATGAGAACGTGCGATGTAACTCCTAACCGATTCCAAAGGCGTGTGAGCACGCGTTCGACTGACTGAGAAGGCACGTCAGTGAATTTAGTGGAACGATATCTCTGACAGGTCATTGAGAGAGCAAGGGTCAATAGCTTTATCTCCACGCCTTTCCTCTCTTCTTTTTATTCGTCTCTTTCTCCCTTGCTACATATTATACTCATCCGATTCTGAAATCTCGCTTTAATAGAGATAAAGTTATATTCGAAAAAACTAGAAACCTTGAGTGAAAAACCCAGTAAAAATCAGTTTTTTATTTTGACCCTGAAAGTTTTTTATTCGGGGAATATATTACATTATTGTACTAGAATTCAGTTTTTGCATATATTCAAAAGATTTCTGTACAAAGATATAGCTGTAAATAATCAAAATGTAATACAACGATTAAGTGACGGTGGTCAAAAATAGATGTCTTATTAGATCCGTTTCAAAAAGATTTTTATCTTTATATCTTTTTTCAGAATTTTGATAAAAAACCATTTTTTCATAATAAAATTAGTTTTTTATTCAGTTTTTTTATTTTAAAATAATAAAGAATAAAAAACCTGTTTTTTTCATCTCTTTTACATCACATACACTTTGCACACATTGCAATATGAGTAACCTCTATGATAAATTTTCCAGATGCAGTAGACATGAAATATTTAAGATTTTTATTCTGCAACAGATTTGTTTTAGAAACTGTTTCCACTTTTGAGAACGCCTAGTGTCGGAATTTAAACATGTATTTTGTTCTAGGAATAAGCTGTAATATTTTTTCTCTATATAAAAAATAATGTGTTCTCAAAATCTTATAAAAGTAATGTGTCCCCAGAATATTATATTCAAAATAGATATATTATTGGGTCGTCCGGAAAGTTCGTGCCGATGTTGAAGGAAAATTGAAACGCAGAAAATTTTAATTTAATAAATGTATACTAAAATTTAAATTTTAGTCGGCACAAACTTTCCGGACGACCCAATATTTATATATTTTTTAAACAATTTTCATTTTTTTTTTAATGAAAGAGAGATTTTTATAGTCAAGTAATACTTAATCTGCGAAATAAATAACACAAAATCCTGATCTGTAATAGCTCGACTAGTTTTATTATGCAAATTCGATACAATTCACTGATACAGTAAAGAAATAATTATGTAAATATATTATTATATAAATTCTTGGTTAATATAATCAATATTCATATAAAATTATCCAATATTATCAAAATCCATTATTTATGAGAAAAGTGTGAAATTGTTAAAATTAAAAATTAATAAATTCATTAAGGATAATTCAAAATATATTTTTAATACTTTAGTTAATTTCATACATAAAGAAATCACATTGTTATTTAGTCGCTTAAAAAAATAATGCAAACGAAGGAATTTACGTTGTTTTCAAGCTTGATTGAACCTCAAAATAATCAGTTTTTATATCCGGTTTGTATTCCAACCTTAATAGCATTGTTCCGGATGATAAATGAATTTCTATTGCGCCGTAACAGCTGAAATGCATACTCTGCAACTAATTCAACGCAACATCTGTTGCCATTAGTTTAAATTATACATATTTGACATTATACATATTGTTAAATTAGTATAAACTATTTGCTTTTTGACGAAAGAATATGTGGGAAAGGCTACACGATAAATTTCGGATATACAGATTAAAATATAGCAATTAGTGCATAAATCATACAATATGTGAAATGCCGATTTGAGCCGAGCACCAGTTATACATATATATGCGAAATTATTAGAAATTTATTAGAAATTTACAAAAATGTCTTCAAAAATTATAAACGTTTCGATCTTCAGTTTTGGATCATCATCGGTATATTCGTAATAATTTCTCGTGTATTTCGATTTCTTGAACAAACCCGTGACACAGAAAGATGTCGTAGTCGCTTTCTATTTTTGTCTTGATTGCGAATTAACGAGATATAATGAATCGAGATATAATCACCGAAATCATATGCCATCATTACACTTGCAGGTTTAATAAGATAACGTATATCGATGTTGATGACTCGTCTAACACACAAATGACACATATCATCAACATCGACATATGTTATCTCATTAAACCTGCAAGTGTAATGATGACATATGATTTCGGTGATTATGATTCATTATATCTCATTAATTCGTAATTAAGATAAAAATGGAAAGGGCCCCTCAGACACTGGACGCCTGCGATTACGATACTTCCGTACCGCATGGACGCGCGTCCAGACGAATAAAGAGACTGTAAATAATATAATACACTTGCACAGTCAAATCCGGAAACGCTTTTCAAAAATATGATTGAGGTAATATTCGAAGCGAGATGAGACACAGTCCGAGTAATCTTACGAGACTCCAGGATGCTAGAAAGTCTATTATTCTCACTATTTTGCACTCATATAGCGCATATCTTCAAAGAATGTTCGATCACGTAACTTTTCCTCTAGGATAGAAACGTGAAAAGTAAAAATATTTTTTGTATATGTGTATTATATGTATTTTTATGAACTTTTTTAAAGTTCATTCTTTCTTGTGGACTTTTAAATTAAATTAATTAATTATATTATAGTTTAAATGGAAAATCCGATTGAAAATCATGAAGAAGCATAAAATTATGTGTTTAAAGAGTTTCTAGATCTATGATCACTACCTAATTTTAAATTCGGGTACCTGAAATTTACGGTACCCGAACATTACAAACATTCGGGTTCCGACTCGATTCCGGAAAAAATTCTCGACCCGATCCGAATTCGAACTCTCGGGTACCTGCACGCCTCTAATAAATGTGTATAAATATTCATAAACATGTATAATTGTATATGAAATATGTTCATATATCCTTCTTTCTTTTGTAAAATTACTTTTTAGTGTAATAGAAATAGTAATAATAATGTGAAAACATAAAAAATAATTAAAAGGATTATTAATTTCCGCATTGTTTGTTTTAGAAAAAAATAAGTTTGGAAAAATGTAAAAAAAATTGTATATACATAATTATGCATAATTTTATATATAATTATACATATTTATACATATTCATGCATGAAAAATTTTTCTGAGCAGTGACGAAAGTATCCTTGGAGCAGTAATTCTTGAGATACATTGTGACATATTTATTTTTGTTTATTTCGTCTTCACACTCTGTTATCATTGTTTTTTTATTGATTATTAAGCATGGTTCGACATAGAGAAAAAAAGACATATATATGATTTTACTAAAACCCATTATGAATGGAACAAGAAGGCAATGATTTGTTGTTAATTTTTCTCTCAACTTTAAACTAATAGTCAATTTTAAATTATAGTCAATGAAGCTTTTAATATGTTTAAGTTAAGAAAGTTCTATAAAAATTTGGTTTTGTAACTATTTCTATGGGTAAAAAAGACATCTTATTTTTATTTTGACTTTTTATTGTAATATTTTAATATATTTTTAATATTTGTCATATGTTTATTATTTTAATATATTTTATTAAGACTGAAAGCCAGAAAGCTTGTAATCTAAGTGATTAATACAAGCTCATTATAATATTAATTTTTTATACATTTTTTACATACCTATTTATGCTGTGTTTATATGTCTTATAGTGAAAATTTTATTTTTAATATTAAAACAACTTAAAAATTTTATTTTTGATTTCGCATTGTGCAAGTTTTAAAGATACAATAATAAAATCTTCAAACTTATTAAAATGATTTTCTTTTGGTCTTGTAACACTCTTGAACTAGTCATATACTGTTTCAGATCTGTCACATAGTACCCCACATGTAGGCAGTTATTCCTCGAGTGTTTACAAAGATTAAAATTTGGAAAAATTAATTGTTCTTTGTTGAAAGGGAAATCTTATCTCTAAAAATTGAAATATTCTTTTACAAGCAAGAGCGAAAAGAAAAAATTTATCACAATGTGTCTCCTACATGCTTATATGCATAAAAATTGTCACTTTTTCGCTTTAGGGAAAAAGTTATATGACCGATTATACTTATCATGAAGCATCCTACAGATGTTCTTAAAGAACACATTATTAAAGTATACTGTGTGGATTGTCATTATTAAAATTGTTACTTTTTCTATAGTACTAAAAATTGTTCTCTATAGTTCTCTATAGTAATAGTACTGTCTTTTAAAATAAAATCATCTGCAGATTCGGTCTTTTGAAGATTTTTGTCTGTCTGTACCAGAGATTCGTTTAAAAAGCTGAAATCTCCGGCTGGAAACTGGAGAAGTGACAATTATGATTCTCGATTTTGAATAGATTTTACAAGGATTGTATTTATCCTTATTCATCTATTTATACATACATGTATATTCAACTACTGGCTATTAAAAATAAAAATAAAAGCAGACTCGTTAAGAAGATTAGATGATCACCAAAAAAAGAAGAATAAGACCAAGTTTACTCTTTAAATTCTTTAGAACATAGAATATTAATCTAAGCCAATTTTGAAAAAAAAGTGGCTCAATTTTCAATCTTTAAGAGTGAGATTTTGCTTATCAGAGCTTTTATTCTAAAAGGATTAGAGAGTATATGCAGGCAAAAAAGGTGTTGTCTGTTCAGGTACGAAATTATACCTGAATAAAGCTTTTCCCACTGCAAGTCTCGCTATATCTTTTCATTTAGCGATTGGTCGATTAGTTCATACTGTCAGAAGAGAAAGGAAAACTTGAAGCAGTGCAGTTCTATGTGCCATCTCACAATTAGTTTCATATGAGGTCTTTTTTTTTAGCTGAAGTTCTTGCACAATCTCTTTTTCCTTTTCTTTCCGTTTCTTTTCGTTGGAGAGGAAAAGAGAAAAGATAAATCATGCAAGAAGTTCAGCTAATAAAAAGAACAGGCCTGGTTTCATATCTAGAACAGACTAGTGTATTTGCTTTCCGCTGTACGAATTCGTTATATACGCGTGAAGTTTATTTTTAAATGTATGATATTTATAACAGTTTCTCCAAAGAATTTTCTCAGAAGAATTCGATATGAGTGTCATAAATTAGTATTCATATATAGTTGATTCTTATACATATTTAAGTCTGTCTTAAGATGTTATAAGTCAATCATAAAGTCATAACATTTTAAGATTAAACATTAAAATGATCTTAATATCATAATAATATGTATGTAAGTATATAATAATCAGGGAATTTAATAAATGGCGGGAAATTTAAATCGACATATCATAAATTAAATCATACACATGAAATATTTAAATCTTGACGTACTATAAACACCGTAATCGTTTCATCGTAGCATTTCCCGAAGGATTCCTTCATTTGCGCTCGTATAAGTATAATACATCCGCATCTTTTCGAAGCAGTGAGCTGAATGCGGTGAAAAAATATCCTCACGGTCGTGATGATGTATCACCCCGCGGATGTGTTCGTAATTATGATCACGTGACACAGTGGTTGTGTTATTTATAGACACGAGTCTATCAAGTTTTGGCATACGCGCATGTGCGCGCATACGCTTTGCGCACGTGTGTATGTCATTACCGTACCGTATGATCGGATACTACCACATTTGTGCATGATGAGTGCTCGAAGAGTTTTTTCGTGACAAGCGCTAGAGTGTGTTGCTGGAACATGTGATGAGAGTCTGTCCAGGTCGGTCGCTTTTTCGAACTTCTGACGCAGTGGATTTTCTTAAAAATAGGAGTTACAGTTCGTCGAAACATCTTCGCATTCGAGGAATTTATGTAGGCTTTGAAGGCTGAGAGTGTTGTTCGTGAAAGAACAATGCTTGAAGGTGTCATCTCGGAATTAATTCCTCGATATTTTACCACGTCTCATGGTTAATGAATACGAGAGTTATGTCGAAGTCCGATGCTCCAAAATTCGTCACGGCGCTTTTCTCCTTCAAAGGAAAGAATAACGATGAAGTATGTGGAATTCTTCTTCTCTTTTCCCCTCTCTCGAAGATTGTTCTGAATATTCCTATATGGAGCAGTGTTATCACTATTGCTAAAAATGTATTTGTATGTGTATTGTATGCAGTGTTTTTGTTTTTTCTAGTTATGTTTCAAGAAAGGAGATGTAATAACGATAACTCAAGTGGACGATGAAGGCTGGTGGGAGGGCACGTTGCATGATAAGACTGGTTGGTTCCCTTCGAATTATGTCAAGGAGTATAGAGCTCCAGGTATGATACTCTTTGAATCTGTTTAATTTTAATAACTGAAACAGTGTACAATTTGATCCATTTACAATTTGTTTTTTAACATTCTGTATATATTTTAATATACTTTAAGGTCGAAAATAATTGTATATATTTTATATATTATATATATAATATACATACAGATGGTAGTCATGCGTCAATTAAAACATCTCCAGAAAGGAGTCCGCAAGAGTCACCTGCGCATCAAAAACTTAATCGTGATATAGTATTAAAGGATATTGTCGATTCTGAAAGAGTGAATGTAGCTGAACTGCAAGGACTAGTAAATAATTTTCTACAACCTCTTGAAACATCAACTATGTAAGTCAGTTGTTTAATAAGAAAAAAATATATTACATATATTGTATGATACAAATTTGGAATTTTACATAGACTGAAGAAAGACGAGTATAAGCAGCTACTTGGTAACATTCACGAGGTATTGGAGACTCATCAATGTTTATTAGCAAATTTAGAAGGAACTGTTTTGCAAGGACTCTCTGCAAGAGTAGGAAATCTTTTCCTAACTATTGCGCTGAGGCTAAAGTCTATTCATACTACATATTGTAACAATCATCCACAAGCTGTTTGCATATTAGATAGATACAGGTAGGTACTTTTCAAAAATATACTTTTTATTCGAATGCTACAAATCGAATCTTAATTTTTATGAAAATTTTTGCTATTCAAGAGATGATGCAGTATTATGATTTGTCTCTGGTTATTTTGTGATTAAGTTCATATTTTACTTTACTATTACTATTATTTTTCCATTAAAAATTTCTAATATTCCTAATATTACAGAATGACAATTTCAAGAAACAAATTTGAATTTTTTGTTTGACAAATGACTTTTAGCATACTGATTCAATATGGAATCCTATTGGAAAATAATACGGATTAAAACAGTATTATGATTTCCGAAAGATAATAATTGATTGCAAATATATTAATCATGCATTATTATTTTAGAGATGAATTAAATGAATTTATGGAACGCAGTGGAGCAATATCACCTGGTATATTAGTATTAACTACTGGTCTTAGCAAACCATTTCGAAGACTAGATAAGTACTCTGCTATGCTTCAAGAATTAGAAAGATATACTGAAAAAAATCATCCTGACAGAGGAGATACTCAACGTAGTATAACAGTATATAGAGAAATCGCGGTATGATAATTCATCTACATCTTCATTATGTGAACAAAAAATGATAAATTGATGTTAAATTTAAATTTACTTGATCCATTTTATTTGTAGGATCATTGCGCTTCCATACGTAAGCAGCGTGAATTAGCACTCCAAATATTAACTAGTGGAATCAAAGGTTGGGAAGGTGAAGAATTAAATTCACTAGGCGAGATTATTCACGTCGGATCTGTTACTTTAGCAACTGGCGTAGATCGTAGAGATAGATACTTTGTTTTATTTCCTACCACACTGCTGGTTCTTAGCACCAGTCCTAGGATGAGTTCCTTTATTTACGAGGTAGATTTGAAAACATCTCTGTCACATTGCTTTAAAAACACAATATATAAATTTTAATTCATGTTGTGATTATTCATAGGGAAAACTTCCATTAACTGGCATTAATGTAACTGGAATTGAAGATACAGACGATATAAGAAATGCTCTGGAGATCACTGGTATGACTATCAATGTTTTATTCAAGTATATCATGAGAGAGAGAGAGAGAGAGAGAGAGAGAGAGAGAGAGATTCTAGCTCACAAAATAAATAAAAAATGTTATTTTGCTAACATAGAAATAAAGAAATATATCAATTCTTTGTTTCTAAGTTCACAAGATAGCAATTATTTCTTAAAATAATTATATAATAATGAAATGCGATATGTATGCTTTAAGGACCAATGATTGAAAGCATTGTCGTACTGTGCGCTACAAGGGAAGAGAGACAGCGTTGGATCAATCTCTTAATTCAAGAACAATGCACTAGCCTTTTGAAATCACCAACCACGCCTCGTGTGAGTTGTCATCATCCTCCGTACGCTCGACTCTCGAGATATTTTGCGAAGCTCGTGAGGAGAAAAGTCATATATCCTGAATTGATGAAGAAATTATTATATATTCAATATATCCTGAAGCCAGATTTAACTAACGTGAAAATGAGAAAATGTAATGTGACCTATACTATTTTTCCTACTCACACTAGCGAAGAATCCGAGATATCAGATACATTCGATGAAAATAATGTGAAGGAGGAGTCACGAATATTGCGTAAATCTTCGTTAATATTGGACGTTAGATATGTGTTAGATAATACTGATCTTAGTACTGTCGGATTAGCGAGCACTTCTTCACTCACGAATTTCGCACCGAGAGTTGATTGCGACAATCGATGTACTTTCGAGACTAGTAAGAGTTTACCGGCTGGTGCTATGAGTCACGTCCTGCCAAATGTTCCGCTCGCGTCAAGCAAGTCGTATACGTCAAATCTTCAAACATGTAATAAATTTTGTCGGGAGCATTTGGAAATTTCACATGATAGAGATCAGACTGTAAATTATAAATATTTGAGAGCTATCGAAGAGTTTTCAAAAAACTTAGACGTCCCAGTTCAATATTCTAATCAGAATGATAACTGCGATAATAACATCGGGAAAGAATTTGGAGAAACTTGTGTAAATATTAGCTTACGATCTTCAGATTCGGGAATGGCCGAGAGTTATCACTTACGTTCATCTGAAATTAATTCCTGTTACAAATCATATACATCTAGTCATACTAAATATACAGATCCTGTAAGAACATCTCATAGTGAAAGTGATAATGATGAAAATAAGTTTGAACATCAATGTATTTGCACTTCGCCATTTGGCTCTACGCCTCGAGATAGTGCTCACTCGGTGGCTTCGTCTAAAATTATTGATGAATGTCCAACTCTTGTGAGACCTAATGATGTTGGTAATGATGTTAATGATAATAGTGGGAAGAAAATTCAAGAGACTGTATTAGTTCATCCTCTGATAAATTATGGAAATGTACAAGAAAAAAGATATACGCAACCGATACCATATGCGCATCAGTGCGTAATTAAAAAAATCGGGAGACGCATAGTTCGTCCAATACAGCCAATTATAGAGGAATATGACGAGCCAACAAATCAAGTGTATTCATCTGGATTATATGCTCATTGGTGGCTCAAGAAATCTATCCCGATAGTTGGATGCACAGAACAAGGCAAGCTTCCATGGCATGGCTGTTCCTTTGATCATTTCAGTTTTTTTAACCATGCTGGTGTTTTTACTAATTATCATTTTCTACCAAAAGTCGTATGCTCTTATTTCACAGCCATGTTGTGTGAAGTAAGCTATCGCTTTACTAACACAATACATTATACTTTATAGAATAGTCTCTCAAGAAATATCACCAATTTTTCTGCGTATGCCTTTATTTTTTATTCCGTCGTCATCCATCATTCACTTCGCAAAAGATTCTAGTTAGCTTGAATATACAGCTTTAGTCTTCAAATAGGTCGTGCACTTCAATTATAATCATAGTATTTCTCTTTTCTATCTTGTATCTTTACATTAAAAAATATTTTTATATTAAAAATATTTTTTTAGACTCTGCAGAACAATAGAAAAAATATATAAATGTATAAATTATAACATAAATAACGTTCGAACAGAGAAATTTTTAGTCTGTGCATGTATATGATAGAAACAATCGTAATTATGCGATATTATTGAAATATTATACAAATGATGCATACATATTATAGCAGACGAACAATCAGCTGAACGGAAAGCACCAACGATCGGCGATGGAACATTGTACATCTCCAGGGATTAAGACACCTTGGAGTATTGCATCACTAAGACCTGCTCCTCCCCTATATTCTCTTAAGAATTTTGGAAAATTAGATACTACTACAGATACATCACGCTCACCACGATTATGCAGTAAGATTACTTTAGTATTAAATATCAAACACGAAGTTTTTAATTTATTTTCTATTGCATATTCTACATTACAGATGAGCGACAATTTGAAGAAGATGCGATTATATTGAAAGTAATAGAAGGTTATTGTCTTTCTGTCAATGCTAGATTTACTGTACATTCTGGAGAGTCTAATTGTAAGTTTCTACAAGTCAATTGAGAACTATTGAAATTTTTCAAAATATTTTTTATATTATGATGAAATTATGCTTATTTTTTAGCAATGCTAGATTATGAATCACAAAAATCACGGGATAGGATATCATTAACACATAACAGAGGCAATTGGGAATATTGTAATGACAAGTGAGTATAAAATATTGAAAAATATTTTGGAAAAGCTACATTTTTCTCTCTTTGAAACAAATATATTTAAATTTAATAATTTTTGTCAAAATAAAAAAATTGCATCAATTTGTACCAGAAATACTTCATCATTATGTTATTGGTTAAATTAATTAAAAAATAAAGAAGAAATAGAATTTTTTTAATTCTTTTTTTAATTATTATGCTGTAAGTTAAAAATTACATAATATATTCACAATACATATGTTATATCAAAAATTGTTAATATAATATTATTGTATATTATTATTATTATGTATATACATATATTAATGTACTTTTTATACACAGGACATTATCGGAAACAGTTAAAACCTTAAAAAATCAAATGACTGACTTACAATCGCAAATGTCGCTACTAACAAAACAATTAGACGAGGAGAGAAGATCGCGACTCTCATTAGCTGCTACGGTAAAACGTAGCATGGGAGTTATAGATGCATAAGGATATCGATAACATCAAAGAATCACAAGAAAGAAGTGTTCAAAAATAAATTTTTTA